AGACAGCGACTGGACACAGGCGGATCCATCACCCTTTCCCGGATGTCTGTGAAGTTTAGAACTGCAGTGCAAAGGCAGCACTTGCCAGAAGGTAAATTCTGTCACATTTTTATTTTGACTGCATGACAGCTTTGGCACTTTACATGCTTTCACTGGTAATGTATTCAAATTGTCTGAAATGTGGAATGCATCAGCTGAACATGTTTTCTGCCCTGCTCCACTATCTCACTCCACGTAATCCACCTCTGTCAGGGGACTCGTCAAAACAAGGTTATGCTACTTTTCAAAAAAACATCACTGCATATATTCTGTTACTAAATGCTTTAAATGAATGAACAGATGGACTTCTGTAACTACAGCCTTGTTTGCAACTTCTTGTAAATTATGTTGCTTTTATCACTGAAGGAGAATTGATTATTGTGAAGCAGTCTGGGTCAGTAGGTCTGCCATCTGACAAAAGTGCTTTCTGGGTTTGATTTAGAGTCCAGACTGCAATACTGAGTTTTTAATCACAACCCAACAATTTTCTGCAGCTGTACTTGAGCTTTTATAAAACACAGACACGCAAGAGGGGCCAAATGCACACACTGGACACTGGCCGGCTGCCAAATTGCTTGATTCTGACCTTCTGTTCCACCCCACAGCTGCTGCCAAATTTGAGTCCATCTCTCTCTCCGTCCACCACACTGACACACAGAGAGAGCCATGGAAGCCAATCAGAGTAGAGTATTTCTCAACTTAGGGGGTCTGTCTGGGTACCATCCACCAGGGAAATTTTCACTTTAAGAAGCAGCAGCAAATACACGCAGGCACGCTTTACCCTTCACTAAACCTCTTGAACATGGGCTACTTTCAACTCATTACTGGTTTATCAAAGTCAAACACATTTATCCCCCCCACCGAGGGGTTTCTATCTGTCTGCTGCTTCTGCTCTCCCCACTTTAGGCCTTTAACACAGCTGCCAGCAGAAATGTGAGGAGTCAGAGCAGTTCTCCTAACCTAGTCTGAACCCTGACAAAGACATCCCTGTTTTTAACCCTGTGGGTGATCAAGGGAAAAAGTAGGACTGGCAGCAAGCAGAGGGAGGACTGGACACCAGCTGGTTCTAACAAACTCCATATAGACACTCATACAAACACAAAGTGAGGGAAACCCACTGAAAAGGGAAGCACTGGCAATGAGTCCAGTTTTCCCCAGATGACATAAAATAGACAAAATTTACTGGAGCATGTCTCTGCCAAATCTGAACCACAGAAGACCAGCCAGGCATAAAAATGAAAGAGTGAATGAGGAAGTGAAGTCCAAGGGTTATGAGAATGAGACAGTGAGGTTGGAGTAAACCTCCATATAAGCTGCACAGCAAGGAAAGCCATATGACATGTCATCTACAAACAGACAACACTGCCGAATCACATGTCTACGGTTATTAGGCAGTGCAGTCATTGTTTTCCTCTGTATCCATTCAACACAAACATTCACAGAGAAACACAACTAAAGACCAGTGAGGCTTTGCAGAGAATCTGACCAAACATATTTTTCTCAGTTTTCCTTTTAGTGGGGAAAAGTGAAGCTGAAGGACTTCGGCACCAAACAAATGACAAAAATCAACTTCAACCAGAACTGCTATAGAGACACTCCTGATAATAAACTAGTTCATGACATGTGATTTTGTGCACACCCATTTAAAAAAACGATAATAAACACGAAAATGTGTGTACAATCACAAAAATTTAATTTGGCCATCCTACAAATCCAATTTTGTTTTTTTGTTTTTTTTAAGTTATCTTAAATGGAATTGATTGTCATATAATAAAATATTCCAAAGAAACAACTTTCTAATAACCGAAATGCAACTAATTAATCATATATTTCTGCCTTTTCATAGCCTGTGATCCGTTGGCCAATCCACAATGATCAATAACCACAGGCTGATAGCTGTCAAAACAAATGCACTGACATCTGACTCAGTGTATAAAATACCATGCGTTGCCTAATCTATGACAGACCTCCTCCTGTCTTTGTGGTTTTTATTGCCGCAACTCTTTCTCTCAAATCCTTTTGTTGTTAGCAAACGCTGTATAGATATTATAACAATAACTGTACAGGATACCAGGTGTGCTGCTTTCAATAACAAAGGGCCCTCATTAGAAAAAGTAAAATATTCACCCGATATCTGGTAAATGGATCAGTTACGGAGCCGATCAACCACTAAATAAACCATTTACGCTACGAGACGATATATCTGCAATAAAAAGCAACGCTATGAGCCACAGCGAAATAATGTTACACCCGAGCAGCCGCTACATTTCTATTAGCGTTAAGTGCAATTTATTTCCATGGCAAAGTTAATGTGAGTTAACACACAGAGGAAAACATTGTATGAATGGTCGGTCTTATTGTTATGGTACAACAGCATGTCAAGGCCAGGGACTGTGGTGTAGCCGGGCTCCTTGTTGCTATAATGTTAACCGCGGCTAATCTAGTTAGCTGCAGTTAGCCAGCTAGCTGGTATGCACATCTCGCTAGCATAACGGAGCTAACATTAGCAGCAGCAGCAATCTCAGTGACAGAGGGCGGACAGATAGCAACGTTACACTGAACAAAACACCCCGGCTATCCACTGTTATATCGTTATCCTGACCGCAATCATACAACCAAGTCGGGCCGTTGTTTGCTCATTCTGTCCGGACATTGAGTCTAGCGAATGGGCTCGTATTTCTCTAGCTAGCCATTCTGCGCCGCAGGACCAGGTCAACCAGCGCCGTGAATCGGGACACGGCTGCCGAGAACACAGGCGAGCAAGGCGGGCTGCTCTTCACCTCTTCGCGCTGGAAACCTGGCTACTCCGCTGATAAATCCTGGGTTGTACCTCGTTTTTGCAGCAGTGCCTGAAAATACCGCTACATTTGAATCAAAAGGATTCTCTTATTTGTGCATTTTCTTACCTGTTACGGTGAATTGTGATCAATCGTGTCCTCCTCTGCAGCTCTCTTCCCCCTCCTAGCTCCAAAATGGCGCCAATATGTGTGGATCCAGTGCCCATGGGTACGAACCATCAATGAGGGCACAGCGCCACCTATAGAGCGAGTCCTTGTAGGTCTATGGGCCCTTCAGGTGTTGCTCGTATCATCCTGTTACTTCATAACATAATTACAAATTCATGTAATATTTTAATATTACTGGATTTATAAACACTAATTTTACTTAATTGACAGATTAGTCTAATACTGATAATATTCGCATGAAAATATCTGACAGGAGATGGACAATTTGATAAAGAGGGAGAATAATATAATTGCTAATTTTGTAAATTGAAACTGACTCAGTGTAACATGTTTTTGAACTGTTGCTATTCCAAAAAAAGACAAAAAAAACAAATACATTCATTTGTCACAGTACATGGTTTTGTCATATTGATGACTGTATAAAATTCTTTGTCTGCTAGGGAAATATCACATTCATAAACGAAAACAAGTGATATATATGTGTAACAAATGTATGTTATTCCCCTTCTCTAGTTTATAAATAAAGTTGTTCATAGTATGTAAAGTTTTTTTTATCCAGTGCTGCTCAGAATGTGGATTACAGGTGTGTTTTAAGATATATGCTGTTGAAGATCTTCAAAGTAAAAAACAGACTAGTAAATACTATTTCCTTGATATTACGTAAATTCAGAAATGTAGCGTTCAGAAATGCTATTTTACTTATTCTTGTAAAAATGTGCAAGTTAGACTGTAGCCTATAAGTTAAACACTGATACACTGATATGGATAATGATAATAAATAAATAATAAATAATAGTGTTTACAGCAAACACATCTTGGACAAGTACCATTTTGACAGTTGCCTTTATTGCCTTTTTGGGTTCTGTTCGTTCGCTCTAAAATTGAAAGATCAGTTTTCCGACAGCACCCAAACGCAGCAGCAGGCTGTGTTTCAAATGAGTTTTTTTCCGTGTGAAAAATGATCTCATAAATGAAATAGGGTCACAAAAACATAATGTTCTCATTAGGATGACATTCATGTTTCCTCTGTGTGAACTATCTTTACAATCCATTAGCTGCTTCTCAATACTGCTATTCATATTTTTAAAGGTGTCTCTGCCTATTAAAGGGTATTTTATCAAGTCACTGTGCCTCTATTCATGCAGCCTTTTCTCACACGCGTTTTAGACTACTATGAAGCCATTCATTTCCCCCTTTCCTTGCCCTGCTAACCTATTCATACATATAGTACTTTCCCATGCAAGAACATCTGTTCCTCTTCAATGTTATCTGCTGATTTTCCTGAAAAAGCCACTTGACTTTAAACTACTTAGATCTTCTTGCCAAACTGTTTTATAGAACCTCAAACTAAAAGGCATACATGTCTCAAAGATCAGCTGCTTGCTTTGTCTTTTTATGATGGGTCTCTGGTCAACATGAGCTATAGGGGGAGCTCCAATATAATCTTTCGGATTTGCACTGTATACTGTACTGCAGAAAACTAAGACATTCAATATTTTGCACATTTTGAGTATAATATGTTTGAAAGATTAGCTTCAAAGCATATTTTGTTAAAGCTCTTTGACGTTCAGGCCTGCAGACACATTACCAACGGTTTCAGCAGTGAACTTTTAGCTATTTATGATATTTATGGGAAAAGAATTAAGAAAAAAGGAAATAAACAAAAAAATGAAATCCAATTACGCTACATGAAATTGTAATTAAATATAATCATTATTCAACATTTAACATACAATCTTCTTTTTTGTTTTTTTACACAATGAATGGCACTTCATACACAGGACACATGCCTCTCATTTTCAATGAAGGAGCCCGTTGTGTCTCTGTGGGTCAGTAGCACATTTAATGATGACACAATATATGATATCATATGCCTTACCATTTTAAAACCTGTTGTAGCTGAATAATTCTTAATATTTTAGTGCATGGTAGCTCAATTAAAGCTCACACGCCCCTGTTTTCAATTAACTAATTAGTGCTTCAAAAAGGCAAGTGTATAAATCTCAGCAGGAAGAACTTGAACTGGTTTCATGGCTCCAGGATGGAGGGGTTCCTGTCCACGTTTCCACCAGTCAACGTCTATGGTAACGCGGTCTGCGCTCCCCCAGCTCCTGGCAGCACCTGGGGGAAGCGAGAGGGCCGCTTCATGACCCCCCAGGGCCTCAACTATCTGGAGCTCTGCAAGGCCATCCTGTCCCAAGTCAACCCCGGTTTACCCCCTCCGCTCAAGAAAGCCAACACCAGAGAGTGCGGCGTGCAGGTGAACGCCAAAGTGGATAAAATCGTCCAGTGCTCGCTGGGTCCCAAGACGCTGGTCGGCCTGGAAAGCGACCATCCTCCTGCGTCCTGGAAGTCTCCCAAAAGCCCGGATCTGTTCAGAGCGGGAGGGAGGGCGCCGTACAACACACCGCCGGTGTGCAACCTCCGCTTCCTGAGGCCCGTCTCCATCTACTCGCCGGTGTTTGACCGCAGGATTTTCCCGCGGAAACTCGGCGGCGACGTCGAAGGAGGAAGTGAAGGAGAAGCTGAAGCCGCCGAACAAGCCGAGTCTGACAAGGATGCAGAGGCGGATCACAGCGGTGAGGACACAGTGAACACAACCTTTCGCCAGGCTTCAAAAGGCTCCAACTTTCAGGTGGGTTTCTGTATCAAAGAGAACACGCACTCACTGCGTTCAAATTTCCACTGTGTTAACTAATCCCATCTACCCGTGAGAGACTCATGAAGACCAAAGCTGCAGAATTGCCCACACTGAAACTTTATTGGGGCTCCGACCACGATGAGCCTGCTTCCAGGCCCCTGGCATCCTGCTTCCCTTAAACTATGTGCATACATTGGAATACTACCCTGGTGTAGCCTGAGTGTGTGTGTGTGGTAATTTATGGCAATTTTGCAACACAGAAGAACAAAACAGAGCTCATGAAGGTCTTAAAATGAGATTTCATGCAGACAGCCTCTTCAGGACATACAGGTAATAAAGACCCACCCTGAGGCCTTTTATCATTTATAGCACATTTCAACAAGAGACATACACAAGGTATGAAAGAAACATAAGGTGGTATAAATGCGATACATAAATAGGATTCTCTGTGCCAGTTAATCCAGTTAATCCGGCCTTGTTTCTGACCATGAAGGTTTGTTTTCGTTCAGTATGGGACACCTTCATCACATCATAATCTCGTGCACTTTCTCTGCACAAATGATCTCGTAAAATTTCCCTTTTTGTTCTAATATCAGTTCCTGGAGCAGAGGTATGGCTTTTTCCACTGCAAGAAGTGCAACATTCGGTGGGAGAGTGCTTATGTATGGTGCATCTCTGGTACCAGTAAGGTAAGTGTTCTGTTATTTTTTACAGCGTATGATTGACATGCACTACCTCATGTTTACAGTTGTATTGAATCGGGGTAATATTTTATCTTGTCAGGTGTACTACAAGCAGCTCTGCCGGAAGTGTCAAGTGGGGTTTAACCCCTACAGAGTGGAGCCAATCCTCTGCAAGGTACATTTACTTGTCTTTCACCAAGAAGAAATGTTGCAATAAAAGGTTTCTGATGTTTTTCAGCCTTTTTAAAGCTTAAAATATCCTGTTCTTTTTTTTTCTTGCCTCTTTGATCCACATTCCTGCCTCCTCCCCTCTGTCTCAGGGCTGCTCTCAGACTTGCTGCAGCTGTGAGAAGAAGCAGAGGCACATTAACATGAGGAGGCCTCACCGTCAGGATCTGTGCTGTCGCTGCAAGGGCATGAGGCTGTCCTGCGACGCCACCTACAGCTTCAAATACATTGTCTGAGCTCCCCAAGGTGTTCGCTCTGGTATGGAAGTGACCCATTCCTCATGTAGATCTGACGGCATTTGTCACCAAGGGTTGAGGCCAATGTCACACATGTCAGCAGACATGTAGTTACCTGTACATGTCATGAATGGAAGCTGCCTCCAGTAACAGACTGAAAGAGATTCACTTATTCTCCAGCCAGCGAGTAGCTGAGTCTCTGGTTGTTTGAGAAAACGTATCAAAACTAGCTTTCTTTGATTTCCCCCCTTTAATCCTGGTGCTTAACTAAACATGAAAATAATTTTTGCAAGAAGAAAAAAAAGTGCATGAAATAAACATATTGCACCTCAAACATGAAATTCCTGTAAATGATTGAATTTACACTCCTTCGTTTAAGATCTTGATGTGCTACATATAATCCTCCAGAGCTTGGTTTGACTCGTGCTGCTTGAATGCAGGCAACTTTCATCTTATCCTAATCAACAAAGTCCCAGCTGACATTGGGTGAGGCAACCGTTTTAACCACTGCACCACTTAGCCAGCATGTTAAAGAATATTAAATTGCATATCGAACCTAAACATTTTATAGTGCGCAAGGGTTTTAAGTAAAACACAAGAAATAATTGATATGTCTTTACTTTGACACCGACTTGTACAGAGCATCAACTCAAAACAACTTCACAAAGGCTGTAAAAGTATTTACAAGGTGAAAAAAAACAACTACAGTCTTCATCTAAAAAGCTTTTAAAAATGTGCAATTTCTTGTTTGGCATGCACACACACGTTCTCCCACACACAAGGGAAAAAAAACAACATACCCGCATGAGCTTAAAGCTCCCTTTTGTACCTCATACAAACGTATCTTTCAGATAAAATATGATTTTTGTTAATAAATATTTCCAACACTCCATACAGTACACAGAAGATGCATGCATGGCAGTTTGATTTGAGAGAACAAACAACAATATAAAACCTAAGTCAAATGAGTGATTTATAGCTGATAAGATATAAATAGGAAAAAGACATCTGTACAGCAAAGGGGCAAATGACTGCCAGAGGGGAAATGAGAGTCACAAAAAGGGCTGACGACAGGAAGTGTTCGACTTCAGTAGTAGCACGAGTTTTGTTTTGAACATCAACAATGAGTGCTGAATGTCAGCATTCCCTTACATGTAAGGTAACTACAAACCACACAAACATATGCGACTATGGTTGTGTGCCCATAACTATCAACAGTATACAGACGGAGACGAAATATTTGAGTGTGTACATGCACCATCCTCTTGGCATGTGAACACAGAAGGTCAAAGTGTTACAGTGTAGGACAGTTGAGAGATATACAGTGTGCACACTCACTAATGATGCTTCAACTAGCCACAGAGGAGTGTGTGCCGCGCACAGATAATGGCATGATTTGTCTACCAATGTTTACAACAGTAGTCGGAGGACAAGCTGGTTCACTGATACAGAATATAAACGGAGCAAGGGCAGCATAAGGAATTGCGCTTGAATATTCTGCATCCGGTCTTTCTCAGTCTTTCAGTCAGTCTGGAGAGCTCAGACTTTGTAGGGAGCAAAAGGAGACACTAGTGTACAGTAGAAAGCATTCAACTGGGTCATGCATTGCACAGTTTCCTCCAGAGGTTGGAGGTCTCAAAACAGTAGACACAAAAGGAGAGAAAAGTTCCTCCAGATTTTGGCTCTTCCTTCTCAGTAAAAGCGACAGCCTTTTCTCTCACAGTAACAAAACTAACAGTGACATAACTGCATTTCTGTAACATTTTCTTTTAAAAACTAATACCAAAACTCCATTTAGTGCAATAGTGAAAACTCTACCAGTGATTTTATGTAGTGCCACGGGTAGTTTCCTCACTGTTTCTGGTGATACTACCAGCAAACTGTGTCCTTCCTGAAAGGAGGCGGCAACAGTCAATCAAGTTCAATCAGGTCTTGAGTTCCTCTGGGAAGCGAGTTAGAAATCTGAGCTAAATGCCTTCACAGGTCCTCAGGTGCAGAACAGGTTAGATGCTGAATGATGACCATCAAGCAGGACTTAAACTAGGAGCACATCGATTTCACAACATGTAGCTGTTAAGCGAAGCTCGTGCTTAGATAGAATCACATCAGGTCATCTTTATCAACGTACAGCAGTTGTTATATCCAGTGGGTTCAGTGACACGTCCCATTATATCTGGGACATGATTTACGTCCTTAAAACAACTCCAGGTATCTGGCATGTCATCTCCTTTTTTTTTTAATAGATACAAAGATCTAAGAGTCAGTCAGGAATAGTTAGTTTCAGGTATTTGGATTCACAGAGGTCCAGGCTCTGTCGTGGTGAGTTTGACGTCTTAGGTCTGGACGTCCGATGGTTCAGCATTCAGGAGCCCCCCTACTTTCAATAGGGGCAGGGTGGCGTGCCCCACCTTCCCCAGGTAGCGAGATAAGGGCATGGCAGCTCCACCGAGGGAGCAACAACAGCCCCATGCTGCAGCCTCTCCTGGGCTGGTGGGACAGGGAGGGGGAGGTGGGGGAGGAAGAAGGGATGAAGACGGGGCAGGGCCACGGGTTAAGACTGCGTCATGGCCCGGGTGAAGAACTGAGCATAGGCTTGAGTGTTTGTATGGAGAGCGGGGGAAATGGGGGAGATGGGAGCCCTGAGGGGGGATGGGCGACGCGTTTGTGTCAGAGTGTGTAAGCAAGGTGGGTTCTGAGGCGACAGTCGGGAGCGTGTTAGATGTGAGAGATGATATCAGGTGTTTGTGTGAATGTGACAGTGGTGAACTGTGTGATGAATGTCCTCTGAAAGGACAATAAAGATTAGTGTTCTCATCAAGACAGCTCCTCCTCGGCTCTTGTGTGTGCGGCAGTGTAAAATCTGGTGTGTTAGAGCAGCTGTGTGTTGAGAACAGGTCCGGGGGTTTTGGGAAATCAAGCCAAGAGCCATCAGAGTCTACAGTGGAGGATGAGGAGAGCAGAGAATGGTTTGGGTCATGGTCTAAATGTGCTTCTGGATCTAGTGTTGTGCAGGGCGATAGGCATGTATCTGTCTGGAGCTGTGCAGCCGGGGCAGCAGACACACAGGAGGAGGCAATGGCCAGGTATGTGGGTGCTGGGCCTCCTCTGTGAGAGCATGCTGAGACGGCAGCGAGGGATGTGGAGGTGGCGGTTTCGGAAGGGTCAATGGCTGCAGTGATGGGAGAGGTAAGGGTGGGGAAGGAGGGGGCGGGGGGCTCCTGAGGTCCTGTCAGAGGCTGGTCCCGGACACGCTGGAGTCGGGGAGGTAGGTTGTGACGACCCGGTAACCCTGGGCGCGGCGGATCATGTCGCGGATCTCCCCGTTGAGTTCCAACAGCTTGGAGCAGATCAGGCTGAGGTCCTGGCGGGAGCCAACCAGGGCGATGGTGCCCGTCTGGCCCAGCGTCTGGTGGCGGAAGTAGATGTTGAGCAGCGTCTGGACCTCGCTCTCTGAGCTGCCGCCGAACACTCCACTGGGCCACTGCCTCCTGGAAATGGGATAAAAAGGTCAATATGATACGTGTATATAAAGGGAGAAGTGTGCTTTGTGTGCATGTGAGTGTGTTCAGGCATTTTCATTTTCTGGATGAGGGCAAAGAAGAAGTTTTGATTTGTCATGTTGATCAAGCATACATTGGTTTTTGATTAGCTCCAATACAGGGCTTTTATTCACTTCCAACAATAGCAGCCTGTGGTGCAGCTCTACAAAGCAACTGCTTATTTTCACAAACACTCCAGAAGCACTGCTACTACTTAATAGTCTAACAGATGTTTCAGACTCTTTCCAAGGACAATTTAAACAAAAACACAGAGTAAATGTGATGGTGGGACATAAAAATATTCACACTTTAAGATATCAAATATCAGCACAAACTACTTAATCCCGGCAGGGCTGTTACTCACCTGCACTCCTGGATGTAGCGCACAGCTTTGGTGAACTCATGGTTCTTAAGGCACTCCAGTATGGCCTGCACAGCTGCCTCGGAGGTGGGGAAGCTGGGCACAACCACGGCTGCCACCTGGGTGGCGTGTGCGTGAGCGTGGGCCAAGAGTTTGTGTTCCAGGTCGCTGGCTACAGCCGCCTCTGCCGCCTGCAGACTGGTCTTCAGATCAGTGAGCTCTCGAGACATGTTCAGCAGCTACAAGGTGAGACAGACGGTGGTTGAGTGTGTGTGTGTGTGCTCTTCAGTGTAATTCCAGAAGAACATTTGTATCATTTGATTCAATACTCAAGATTCTCTTTAGGAGATGAAAGTGTTGAAAAGTGTTTTCTTCAGTTCAACAGCATTTTAAAACATTTAGCAAAAAATACATTTATTTAAAAATGTTACATCAACTCTGGAGTGAATTTGCCGTTTGTGGACACAGGTAGCTACAACAATCATGTAACTTAACTTCATTTGTTGCCAGTAAAGCCAGTATTATCAAATATACTGTGTCACAGACATGCTGTGTATACCACTAACATTTTATCATCCAGTCTGATGGCTGATCACAAGAAAGTAACACAAAACTGCAGTACAGAAATGGAAAAGACAGGGCTACTTTAGAAGCACTCACTGCATTTATATACACTTGAGTAACCAGGGCTACGACAGTGTTTCCCATTAATGACCTACACTGCAGCGGAGAGTAACCTCTAGAAGTCTAAATCAGTTTGCACAGCTGAATGTTTGAATATATGTTGAACTGAGACACATGAGTGCTGCGAGGAAGAGCCGTGCTCTGTCTGTCTGTTCGCCCAGGCATGCTCCCAAAATAAAGTCAGGGGTACGGGAGAAATCTGATTACTGACCTGCTGCATGTATGCATGGAATTACAGTACCCAGGTTACTAGAGTGCATGTAAACACACCACACAAGTGTCTCCATTACACAGTCTGTCCAGCAGAAGGCACTGACAAGTTTATTTTTCAACTGTAAAATGTCCCACTCGGTACATATCTTAGCCAGATCTGACTGATCCAAATACAATTTAAAGTAAGATTGGCAGATGAATAATTTCTTTAACTACCAAAACTACTACTATTTTTCACTTTTATACAAACTCGAAATCATTACACCTTATCTACCTTACTTTACTCATATCTTTAAATAAAAGAATAATTTCATGATTTACATGTGTTACAGTGTTAACTGTGAAACGGAAAATGTGTTCTGTTACATTAGTGACATAATGGGAACTCAACAGGCTGCACCTGCAGGTTGGGAGTGCTGCTGTTCTGTCTTCCTGTATTGTGGTATGAGATCACGAATGTTTTTATCGCGGTTTT